AGAGTAGAAAACCCATAAATGGACACATAACAATATGGTCAACTAATCTTCGACAGAGCAGGAAACAGTATCAAATGGAAAAATGACAGTCCCGTCAACAAATGGTGTTGGGAAAACTGGACAGCAACATGAAATTCTAATGGAACTGGACCACTTTCTTACAATATACACAAAAACAAATTCAAAATGGATGAAAGACCTAAATGTGAGACAGGAAACCATCAAAATCCTAGAGGAAAACACAGGCACCAACCTCTTTGACCACGGTTGGAGCAACTTCTTACTAGACATGTCTCAGACGCAAGGGAAACAAAAGCAAAAATCAACTATTGGGACCTCATGAAGATAAAAAGCTTCTGCGGAGCAAAGAAACAATCAATAAAACTAAAAGGCAACTGACAAAATAGGAGAAGATATTTGCAAATGGCATATAAGATAAAGGCTTAGTATGCTAAATCTATAAAGAACTTATCAAACTTGAAACTCAAAAATACAAATAATCTGGTGAAGAAATGGTCAGAAGACATGAATAGACATTTTTCAAAGACTTTCAGATAGCGATAAGACACGTGTAATGAGGCTCATTGTCACTTCTCATCAGGGAAACATAAATCGAAACCACACTGAGATAACACCTCACACCTGTCAGGATGGCTAAAATTAACATGGTGGGAATGCAAACTGGTGCAGCCATTCTGGAAAATAGTGTGGAGATTCCTCAAAAAAATTAAAAATAGAACTATCCTGTGATTGAGCAATTGCTTTACTAGGAATTTATCCAAAGGATACCAAAATGCTGATTTGAAGGGGCACAGGCACCCCAATGTTTATAGCAGCCCTATCAACAATAAGCAAATTGTGGAAGAGCCCAAATATCCATCAAGGGATGAACGCATAAAGAAGATGTGGTAAATATATACAATGGAATATTACTCAAGCATCAAAAAGAATGAAATCTTGCCATTTACAACAATGTGGGTGGAACAACAAAGTATTAACCTAAGTGAAATAAGTCAGTAAGAAAAAGTCAAATATCATATGATTTCACTCATATATGGAATATAAGAAACACAACATACGGGAAGGAAAAATAAAATAAGATAACAACAGAGAGGGAGGAAACCAGAAGATATACTTAAATACAGAGAACAAACCAAGGGGAAGTGGGGAAGGTGGGCTGAAAGGGAGATGGGCATTAAGGAGGGCACTTGTTGAGATGAGAACTGGGTGCTATATGTACGTGATGAATCACAAAATTCTACACCTGAAATCAATACTACACTGTATGTTTAACACACTTGAATTTAAATTAAAAATATTACAAGAAAATCACATACATACATATATGAACAATTGCTAATACCTCAAAATAGCAATCTTCTGCACAGTGAAGGAAACAATAAACAAAACTAAAAGGCAACCTATGGAATGGAAGAAGATATTTGTAAATGGCATATCCTCAGGGTTAGGATCCAAATATGTAAATTTTAAAAAATTATTTCCACTTACCTGTAGAGTGTGTGTCCATGCATACTTTGAGTGAGGAGCAAAACTCGTGTATTGTGGTAAGATCTCACTGAAACTGAGATCCACCCTCTTCACTAAATGTTAACCGTACAGTACAGTATTGTTAACTACAGGTGTAACGTTGTGGAGAAGACCTCTAGAACTTAGTCGTCTTGCATAACAGAAAATCACACCCCTTTATATCTAACCCTCATTGTCCCTTGCTGCCAGCCCCTGGCAAATGCCACTCCACTCTCTGTTTTATTGTTATCAAAACCAAAATTCAGCTGCCTGTTGCTGGAAAGGTCAACGTTCAAAGTTATACTTTTGGTGGGAAAGGGATTTGAGCTTTATTCAGAAGGCCAGCCAGTGGTGAGAATGCATAATCCTGTCCAAAAGACATCTCTGAGGGTTTCTCCCTGACGCAGGGGGTTTTAAAGGAGCAGAGCATACTTAATCAAACAAGGGAGCGCCATGGTTGATAACGTCTTTTGATCATGTGCAGACTCCATGGTGCATGCTACCAAAGTTACCTCCACTCCCTGGCATCTCCAGCTGAGGAGGGAACTACACATGCATGGGAGGAGACTGCCAGAGGCCAGGAAAGAACCCCAATAAGGGATTAGAGCGGAAAACCCCTGGGGCTCACACATGGTCAGCAGTACTTTCTGTTCTCCCCAGCTGGCATAAAAAATACTAAAATACAACCTTGTAGTTCACCAAGCATCACATGGAATACTGGGAAATGGTTTCCTCAGTAAACTCAGAGGAAGCTTCAAAGCAAAAACCAAAAGAAACAAATTGCTTAAAAACTAATATTTAACCAGAATGACATGAAAAACGACAAAGCTATTTTTTTCATCACCAATAAAGGTAAAATTGACAATGTCCACCTCCACATATCAAGAAAGTAGGAAGCATCGGTCTCCATAATGAGGAAAGGTAGTCATCGATAAAAAGTGACCCAGACATACCACAGGACATGGAATTGATAGAGAAGTTCAGGATGTTAAAATTGCATATCCCATATCCAAGTAGCGGAGGAAAGATGGAATGTGTTGAATAGAGCCAGGTCTCTGGGTCCAAGTCCCCACTATGCCCACGTGAGCACTCTTGAACTGGCCCATCTGCCTCTTCCACATCCACCCCAGCGGAACTGTTGTGTAGGGTCACCCAATGCCACACCCTGGGACTGTTACCTAACCCCACAAGTGGCTCCCAGGTGCAGGGTGCTGGCCACCTGGCTCAGCAGTCTGTTCTGTCAGATGGCCTAGACCTCACTTTGCTGAGGATCCTCCATTTATCCACTCTCACTGGCAGATGTCCCTGAGCAGGTGCATGAGGCTGGCAGAGGGCCAGATCACGCTGAGGGCGTCCCTCTTGAAGTTTGCACTCTGGGCAGTGCTATCTCCTGTCCAGGGTTCTCAAGGACGTCCCTCATGGCGCTATCCACATGCAGCACAAGAAACCCTTTTGGTCCATACATCATCATTTTGGTCCATAAATACATCATTTTGGTCCATACATCATCTGCTGATGATGATTCAGGATAATCAGGGAGACTTGCAGATGGGTTACCCCTCCATGCCTCCAGACTGTACTACCTCAGCTATCTGGAGAAGATTCCTCTTTCCATGGTTACCATGGGCATGTGCTATCAGGGCCTTAAAGGTATCATGAAGTTGGATGGCATTGCCTATGAAATCAGACACCTCAGTGATTCGCAACATTTGAACACATTTTTTTCTCAGAGAGTGGCAGACACCAGTGCAATGGGACCTACTTATAACCTGGAATATAAGGAGGATAGGGAACACCCTGTTCCTCAAGCAAATGCCAGTGTAGTGCTCAGGATCTCTAGTAAGTTGTAGTCATCCCATCACGGAATTTTGCTCTCAGACCCTAAACAATATATAGTGTGTCCAACCATGTGTCAAAATGTGCCCAATTCCTAATAAGGCTAATTAGCTTAATTGACTCATTGTTTCATGGGATTGATGTAAGTTACTATATTGGTTTCATGATAAGTTATAATGAGAGAGATCCAGCTAACGTGGGCAAATATGTGTTGCACCAGAGTCCTTTTTTTTTCGATTCTATGAGTCCAAGGGTTTTCAAATTCTTAAACCAAATTCATACTTAATTGCGATTTGAGATGGATCCCATGAAGTTAATTTCAGTCCAGCTGTATGCAGTATATGCCATCCACAAAGCCCTATCATGATGGGTTATTTAGGCAGATATTATTTACTCTTGTCTGTCATAGCAACACATCAGATTGCAAAATATATTGGTTTGTGGGTTGACACTGATGAATATGCTTGCCAGAAAAGATCCAACTGCATTAGGACCCAATTAACTGGTATAATGGAAGTTTTCAGTAAGTGTTCTTTCATTCATATGCAGCACAAAATCAGGGGCAGATTAGGCAACTGCCTCTTCAAATCTAAGTGGTGCATTGAAATAAAAGCCTGACCCACAATCATTTTGGAAACTACTTAGCTGACCCAGGCAAGAATTGTGACTGCAACTCCTTAGAGCAATGCTACAGCAATCTATGCTGTATGAGTGATTGTATTTTTTTTATTTTTATTTTTAAAAAAAATTTTTTTTCAACGTTTATTTATTTTTGGGACAGAGAGAGACAGAGCATGAACGGGGTAGGGGCAGAGAGAGAGGGAGACACAGAATCGGAAACAGGCTCCAGGCTCTGAGCCATCAGCCCAGAGCCCGACGCGGGGCTCGAACTCCCGGACCACGAGATCGTGACCTGGCTGAAGTCGGACGCTTAACCGACTGCGCCACCCAGGCGCCCCGAGTGATTGTATTTTAACCCATGGCAACAAATGGAATACAGGCAGATGCTATACAGACTGCCCCAACTCCACTTCTTGGACACTCAGCAGACCAATCAAAAATATATTTGATCCTCCAGAGTCCTGCCGTGGGGTGTCCTTGTCGTGCCCTGATGACTTCCATATGTAAGATGGTACCCCGTGCACTGAAGAAGGGTGCTGCTATCATGGAAACTGCACTGAGTGCACTATGCACTGCCAAGAAACTTTGGCAGAAATTCTGGGAAAGGTGAAGATGTCTGCTATACCATAAATCACAAAGGCAGCCGAAATGGACACTACAGAAGACCACAGGGAATTCAACGCTGAACCTGTTCCCACACAGACGTGCCGTGTGGAAGGCTGCAGTGTAGTAATGTCACACACCTCCCTCAGCTGCAAGAGCATGTTGTATTCCATCTTTCTGAGATCCAGGGTTCTGATGTTTGGGGCTGGATTCACATCGTAGCACAGGAACAACCCAGATTGGTCATGTGAGAACTGGTACTTCCTGTGCTCCTGGAAAGTTCTCTCAGGATACCTACTTCAATGGCAGTGGGGCTCAGCTGAATTATGACTGTATCCCGGAGAAATGTAACAGTCACATTCACAGTCACAGAAGGATGTGCAACCATAACAGGAACTGCCACTGCCACATAGGTTGGGATCCTCCATGGTGCACTGGACGAGGCACTGGTGGGAGCAAAGACAGTGGACGCCTCCAAGAAGAATGTGGCCAGTCAGGCAAAGTCCTGAATCCCTGGTATATCTCAGAGTGGTTTTTGGTCCCGTTTAAGCCATAATAGCTGCATTCCTTGTGGTGTTGCCACAAATGTCAGAATTATCAACACCAAGAAAGTTAAGAGAGCGATTGTTGGTGAAGACAACCCATAATTCAGCCTCCAGACCCCTGAACAACTATAGTCAAATCACCTGGTGCCTCTGTGAAAATACAGTAATGAGGAAGCACAGCTGACATCCATGTTTCCAGGGTCTGTGAGAGACACAGGATCCACAGGAACATCACAGATCTGACACAGGTTTCTCATGGGTCACTGATGAAAACTCTGAAATGAAACTTAAAAACTGCATGGTTGTGCACTCTATGTGTATGTCAAAGCTTCCAAGAGCCCAAACATAGCCTGAGATTATTTTCAGAGGACCTGAGTCAGCATCTGGGTCTTGAACTGAGGTATATGCTTCCAGAATTAAGAGAAGTTGACACAAGCTCTTTTAGGGACAAATTCATGAGTTTTATCCAAAACTGTGCTCTTGCACACTTAACATTTTCTCATTCTCCAGGTAATCTGTCTTCCCCCAGTCCCAACGTGGGTTCAGGGTATTGGTGGGCTATCACCCACCCACACTGCCTGTCCCACACTGGGATGTCTGTGGGCTGTGAGGGAATGGGGACTGGCATTAGGTTCCACCTAGCACAAGCTGTGCCTCCCTGGAGAGCAAATTTCCAAATGTGGGAGACTGAGACCATGAGGTTTAAAGGAGCACCAAGTGAAATGAATCAGAAAGGTAGGCACAAGTACTTATGGATGACTCTGGCATCCAGAGGGAGCCTGGTGAATGTGAATCCCTGCTCTCTTTCTCTTGCCTAATTTTCAATGAGTTTAACCTTAGATAAGGATCTGCCTAGGATTCCAACTTTGGTTTTCCGAGTGCCTTCTCGAATAACCACACAGAGGTGAGCTTGTGAAAACTAGAGACTTCAGCCCCATCTACTCTCAAGTTGTCAGGTACTTGCTACTCTGTTTTCTATGTCCTTATCACTGGGAATGTGGGATGGAGACCTGTCCTTCCCTTGGTCCTTATGCCCCCTTGTTCTGGGCTCTATAAGTCATAAATCCTGTGCCTCCATTTCCTTTATTGGGGGTGCACTGAAACTCCACCTTGATTCAGCAGGGCCCCGTGCAACTCATGTACCCAAAGCAAGAGCTCAGATGCCTAGGGAGCCACCTGTCCACCCCCTGAGCAATGGCTCTTGCCTCTTCCTTCAGCAGGACACAGTCTACATGTTCTTAATTCTGTACAACAGCTGGGGTCCCCAACACATTTGTTCCCAAGGATGGGATTGGGGACCTAGGTGGTGACTTCCAACAATGCGTTAGTACTGAGAATGGCTCACTCATTCCTCACCCCCACATCTCAGCTGTTCTGGGAAGGAGCTAGTGTTTGCTGGTGGTCTGTAGCTGTCTTTGGGCTGATGCCAGGTTTTGCCAGAAACTCCCATCATAAGTTATCAGAGCCATAAAAGGTCAGACTCCCTGCAGAGACCAACAAGCAGGCACCAGTCTGGGGTTCCAGAGGTGTGTATTTCCTATTCACCTCCAAAGGAGGTGGACACCGAGGACAGTGTTCCTAGATTAGTGTCAAAGAAGACACCCGCTACTGTGTCCACTGTGTTGTGGCCAGCACAATGGTGTTGTGTCTGATTAGCCAGCCCTAGCTAGTGATGGAGGCAAATCTACAAGAAGCATCATGGCACCCAGGGTGGAGGTCTTGGCCAAGGCAAGCTCCCCCTAGTTGCTGAAATCCTCGCTGCTGTGACCAATGGCTCCCCACCTGTCAGGTGTTGAGTGGGACACCTCAGTGTGGGAGGCCACAGAACACGAGTCTGGGAAGAGCTAATTTCTATCCCAAATTTTCCCTGTCATGATCCACTACACCAACATGTCCAAGGACCAGCGTGAGAGACAGAAATGTTGACAGGCACTATAGAATCATGGAAATGCAAGGCTTCCTGGAATCATTTGTCCAAAGGGAGGGAGACAAGGACATTGATTGGTTCTTGTGGGTCTTCATAATTGGCTCCAAGCTGTTGTTTTAAGCACTTGATATGCTGCAGCTGTCTGGATTGGTCCAAGTCCCCCAGATTCATAAATCACTGAAAAGCTCAAGGTATCAACAGCCTGTTTACTTGCAGACAACATGTGGAGCTTTCAGTCTTTTCACTGTATCAAGTGCTTATGACAATCACACCAGGGCACAGGTCAGGAGACACAGACCAAATAAAAGGGGAAGGCTCTGAGGAAGAGGCTTCCCAGGGCCCCAGAGCCCACAGAGGTAGGAAGAAAGAAGTTCTGATTCCCAGTACATGGATTTTTGTGGCATGACAGCACAGGCCCACTGGGAGAGGTCAAGCCCAGGTGACACAATCCAACTCTAAGATACAATGGGGACAATTCAATGGGTGTGTTTTTTTTTTTTTTTTTTTTTTTTTTTTTTTTTTTTTTTTTTTTTTTTTTTTTGCCTTATGTCATGCACCCATGAGCCCTTGTCCATTTCCAACCTGGAGGAGAGGCACTTGACAACAGAATTCAAGGAGTTATTCTTGAAAGACCACTCTGATTAAGCCTTGTGCCAATACAATTCATGGAAATACCAGCTTTAGTGTAGCAGGCATTAGCATGTATGCCATAGTCAAACGTGAAAAGGAGAATTTTCAAGAAGCCCAAGACTTTTTTGCTGCAAAGGCTGATGGCTCACCACCTCCAAAGATAGGCCACAGGAGTGTCCCAACGGCATATGGAGCTTGGGGGCCTCTTTTCTGCCGCATTCAAGGGGTGGCACTTCAACCCAGCTCTCTTGCTCTGGAGATGATGCCCACACTTCTCTTTATGGGCAGCTCTGAGAAGCGGGGTCCCTAATGTAATCTCATGACAGCCCAAACACAAGTCAGAAACTTTGATCAGACTCTTTTGGATCTTCAAGAGAATGCTGTTCCTACCCTTTGGGTGGGTGCCATCACTTCTCTGGACATGACAGCCCTGGTACGGGGGAGCTGGGATCCCAGTAGGTGGGGAGATGCCAAGGCCCCTGCCTAGGGACCCAGAGGTTTATGGAGTATGTCCTTACTCCTGGGAACACTGCCTGTATATTCTGTAATTACCCTGTAGGACACAGACATAGACAACACTTTATTTCTCTTATTGACCCTGAAGCCAAGGTATATTGCTTCCCAGGAACCCCTCCAAATATAAGTGTGGTGCCCTTTAGCTTATGAGGTAAAGGGAGGTATAGTAGAAGGGTCTCAACATCCCTTTGAGGTCACTACAGGAAGAATATTTACTGAATCTATTTTAGCAATGGTGGCCCCTTTGACCCTGCATTGTCTTGTTAATGGTGTGGATGCCCTCACATGCCATCAAGGCCAGTGGGAACAAACCCAGTGCCTGGACTTCCTCAGGGGGAGCTAATATCAGGAGTCTGTAGGACTGCAAACCGCACCCCCCACACACACACACCCAAATAAGACAGTATATATACATCAATATTGTGTGCAATAGAGGACTGAGTAATTGCAGCCCATAATCAATATTTACTGAAGAGGAGGGGTCATTAAACATGCCGTTTCTCCTTTCAGTCTGCCTATTTGACAGGCATTAAAGCCCCCTCCTAACAAGTGGCGCTTTACAGTTGACAACTGAAATGTAAATTCCCAGCTGTCCATAAGATGGCTCACGTTCCCAAGACTGTCTAGGCAGTTGAAAGTATCTAAAGGGCCACAGGGGAGACTCTGTCCTGACTGAGCTAGCCAGTATGTCCCATTCAGCATCGATGACCAAGGAGTCCCAGCCACAGTCTGCTCTCAACCTGTACATCTCTACCCAGCTGTCTTGGGAATTCCTAACAGCCCAAACAGTGCCAAGATGTTAGGCTGACCAGCTCATGTAGAGCCTGTCATGAGTTCCCACTGGTCTGGGCAATTGAGGGTCACTGTCACTGGTCAATTATCATGCATTCCTGAACGTTTGTGAGACATGGGAGGCCAGCAGTCCGTCAGCAGCTATAAGGTGGGTTTTGTCACCTGACTGAGCTACTCCAGATTTTCGGTCTACTTTCATATGACTTGTGCTGTTAGGCAGCCTTACCTGGAAGTGGCTGAGCTATGCCAGTTGATGCACAGGTGGTCTGAGTGCCAATGAAACATTTTGGGATCTGGAAAGTGTTTGTGCCATGGGGGTTACCCTGGAGCACCTAGTGACCATCTGGCACCAGGTTGCCTTGCTATGTCACCAAGAGAGAGAAGCCAGCACCATGACTGTCTTCATACAAAGGGAAATATTCTCTCCCAATACTTCACCTGAGCAAAGGACCATCCTGAAGCTTCCATCAAAGTTGTGGTCCCAATCAATGCAGTGGAAGGAAAGGCAGAGTGACATTGTCGTGCTGGTTGTGGATACCACACCCTTCCATTTGTCCATCCACATGGTGTATTCACCTGCTTGCATTGGCAGGAAATAACACTACTTTGGGGGCTTACTTGCTATCCTGATGTCAAAACAATTGACAATCAGACTGATTATTTACTGTAGACAGGACTTGGAAAACCTGTGTAAGGGTCTGTGTCTGACCTGCTGAGATAACCACACAGGTGAATGGAGCAGATGCAGTCTGAAGACAGACAGTTGTAGAGGTTCAGAGGGAGAGCAGGAAATGTAGTCAGTCTTTTAATAGTGGGGGAAAGGGCAGGTTCAATTTTTAAAAGTTTGTTTTCCTGACAGGAGAAAGCCAGAAAATGAAACTAGGTAGAAATGCAGTTTCTTGAACCGTGACCTACTATGTGATCCCATGTGCTTCTGGAGCCTGGGAATTGGCTCTGGGAATCCTTACCTATGGTCGTCGTGGGGATGGCCATCCAGGGTCTTGACGATGGCATTTTCTGGAACTATTCTGTGCAGCTTGCATGAATCCAGAGACATCTTTCCCTAATTTTGATGGCAGTGTATTCGGTTAGCAGTTCG